CTCACAAGGAAAATTACAAAGCAACTAAGTGGGCAGAGCAGCAAGAGATCAGGCTACCTAGCATAGACTGTGGACTCTGGGTGGTTGTGATGTGTCAATGTAGGTTCATCAATTGTAACAAATGTACCACTCCGGTGGGGGATATTGAAAGTGGGGCACTGAGGGAGGCTGTGCATGTACAGGGGCAGGAGGTATATGGGAAATCTCTGTAGCTTCATCTTTATTTTGCTGTGTACCTAAAACTACTCTAAAAAAATAAACTCTTTAAAAAGAAGTAGGTCAGGCAAAACAACATGAAAACATACTGCACAAAGTAGAGATGATAGTAGTTCTTAAAGAGAGAAAAGTCAGTAGAAAAATATGGTTCTAAAAATATGATTTTTGGAGCTAAAATAATGTGATTCCGCAACCAAATAACTACAGAGGTAAATTAATGGATATGATAAATGTCAACACCTGAACTAGTGGCCTAGATGATTAATATAAAAATAATTCAAAATGCAGGAAAAAAAATTAAAGATGAATTCTGTTCCCAGTAATGGTGGACCAAGTGGTTGGTTTGAACCAATCTTAAAATGTAGAACAGCTATAAAAGTGGAACAAATATATATAAAACATTTCTGTAAAGGTATCAGAAAACAGTCAAGGGGATGATTAATGGTGGGGTTATTACATGAGAAGTAAGGAAAGCATAGAGAATTAGAGTGTCATTTGGAGTCACTTTTCTCCTAGACATGTGTGCAAATTTGGGAGGAAGAGACTGAGAGTCTTAGAAGCTGAGCAGAGCTTCCAACAGTTTCTTGAAGCTGGGGATTTAGCAAGTGGAATTCAAGGTTTGCCAAAGAGGAGGGCACTAGTAAACTCCTCAGGCTTTGGATACAGACCCTAAAAGGTTACTTCCTAGGACTAAAGTTGAACTCCAAATAGACTAGCAATCACAGGGATTAAACCACAGCTTTGAATAATCTCAATCCCTAATTGGATTAACATGATACTGACCTGTTATGGCCCATATTCTAGACACCATCTAGAAGCAAACACGATTCATCTCCAGAGAAAGATAACATTCATCCAGAGTATCAAATTATTTCTACAATTCTATGGAAAAGTTTGAGCACCGAATCAAAATAACCAGAAATATATTAAGACAAGAAATGTGACTAAAAGCAAAAGAAATAACAGAAAATAGAAACCAGATAATGGAGTTTTTCTGACACAGACTTTAACATAACTTTGTTTCATGTGCTAAATAAAATACAAAAAATTTTAAATTTTATCAGAGTACTGGAAATTATATAAAAGAACATAATGGGATTTTGGAACCAAAAGGTACAAGAACAAAAATTAAGAATTCAGTTGATATGTTTAAGAGCAGATTGGACACAGCTAAAGAGAATTAATTAACTAGGTGATAGGTCAGGAGAAAATATATAAAATGAGGCACAGAAAGAGAAAAGGATAGGTAATACAGAAAAAAAAGGGGGGGGGGAAGAAGCAAGACATTTAGGACATAATAAATAAAAGTGTAACATCATGGTACTGAAGTCCCCAAATGGGAGGCAAAAAAGAATGAAACAGAAATAACAACTGGAAAAAATAATGGCTGAAGATTTTCCAAAACTGAACAAAATACACAAAATGCACATTCAAAAAATCTTCCAAAGTTCAAGCATGAAAAATACAAAGAAAACTTTACCAAAGTACATCATAGTAAACCTCTGGGTACCAAAGACAAAAGGAAAATTCTTAAAACCAGTTGAACGATAAAGAACCATTACCTACAAAATAACAACAAATCCTGACAGTTGATGCTTCAGTAGAAAAATGGAAGCCAGAAGACAATGGAATGGTATTTTTCATATGCAGAAGAAAACAACTATGCACATATAACTCTACACTCACTAAAAAATACCTCTCAACAAAAGGTGAAATTAAGATACTTTATACAGAAAAAATAATTTATCTCCATCAAACACTCAATAAAAGAAATGCTAAAGAAAGTTTTTCAAGCAAAAGAAGAAGAATCACAAGCTGAAATACAGAAATGTGAGAAGGAATAAAAAACAACTAAAAGAGTAAATATTGACTAAATATAATTACTGTAAGAAATAATCATAATAATTTTATAATAGTATTTTAACATAATACTTGTGGGAATTAAAATATACTTATGGAATTAAAATACATAATAATAATAGTATATAATTGGTGGGAGGATAAATGGAGCCAAAGTACCCTATTGTGTTTGTCTTGTCTAGAAAGAGATAGCTACCATCTTATTACTTACCAAGTTAAAGATGCATGTTGTAATCTCCAGATAACTACTCAATGAATGTATAATTACAAGTCAATAAACAAAGAAACAGTAATTAAAAAGCTCTCAAGGCAAAGGCAAGAAAGAAGAAAAAAAGAGACGAAGAATGGTCAGTATAAATGCAAATCAGATACAAATATAAATTCAAGCTCAAATATCTTTGTATTTACAGTAAATATATGTGGAAAAGCAGTCTGTATAAAATATAAATATAATCCAGCTATACACAATTCAACTACTGATGAGAAACACAGTTTAATATAATAATACATAAAGATTGATGAGAGAAGTATACCACGCAAGCCAAAAGAAAGCCTGTTGTTATATTAACACCAGACAACATAAACTTTAAAACAAAATTACTATGCAAATTTAACATGTGACATTATACAATAATAAGAAGGATAACTCACCAGGAAGCTGTAACAATCCTAAATGTGTATTCATTTAATACTGTAGCCTCAAAGTATGCAAAATGACAGAAATAAAAGAAGAAATAGAGACATTTACAATCATAGTAGTAGGTTTTTAACAAATCTGTATTAGTTATCTATGCTGCATACATAACAAGTCATCCCATAACTTAGTGGCTTAAAACAATAAACATTTATTGTCTCACAGTGTTTGTGGGTCAAGAATTTAGGCACTGCTTAGTTGTGTTAGTTTGGCTTAGGGTCTGTCACAAGGTGGCAATCAAGGTGTCAGCCAGGAATACAGTCATCCAAAGGCTCAATCTGAGAATTCACTTCCAAGCTCACTCCCTTGGCTTTTGGCAGGCTCAGGTCTTTGCTGAGTCTTTGCTTTTGGTTGAAGACATTAGCTACCTGCCACATGGGCCTCTGCATAGGGCAGCTCACAGCATAGCTGCTGCTCCTCCTCAAGGAGCAGCAAGAAGAAGTCACAGGAAGATGAAGTCACAACTTCTTTATTAGCTAACCTCAGAAGTGATGTCCCGTTACTTTTATTTTTTGTTAGAAGTGAGTCACTAGATCCAGGGGAGGAGATTACACAATGGTCTGAATACCAGGAAGTGAGGATCATTGGGGATCATCTTAAAAGCTGCCCACCACAACAGCTCTCTCAGTTCTGTTAGGACATGCAGACAAAATGTTAGTAACAAATTTGGCATAATTGACATATATAGAGCACTGCAACCAACAACTAAAAAATATATATTCTTTTCAAGTCCATGTGGAATATTAACCAAAATTAATCATGTGCTGGGTCATGAAGCAAGTTTCAATAAATTTCAAAATATCAGAATGATATGTTTTCTGATCATAGTTAAATTAAACTACAAATCATTTACAAAAAGATTATTAGCAAATTCTCACGGGCTAGGAATTTAGGGAATAATCTAACCCATGTACCAAAAAGAAATTACAACAGAAATTAGAAAATATTTTGATCTGAATAATAAAAATACATGAAACTTGAGGCATGCAGCTACTGCTGTACTAAGAGGGAATTTATATGCCTACATTAGAAAAGAAAAAAGACTGAAAACCAGTATTCAAAGCATTTATCTTAATAATTTAGCAAAATAATGACAAAAGTGTAGTGTTAATGTGGTCAAATTTATCATCTTTTCCTGTATGGTTATAGCTTTTAGTGCTTGTTTAAGGAAGTTTTGCTTATCTCTAAACTTACCTTACATAACTTTTCAAAGTTTTGCCTTTTACATTTAGGATGTGATACACATGTTTGTGAAGATGAGATTTTATTTTTCTCCATATGGATATCTAATGGTTCCACCCTCATTTATTGAAAAGTTGCCCTTTCCCCCACTGCTCTGCACAGCAAACATGTCAAAAATTAAGCATCCATATGTTAATGGGTTTAATTTGAGGTTCTCTGATTTGTTACATGTTTTCTTTGTTCATCCCTCCAAACACCACTATCCTAACAACTTCAGCTCTGTAATAAGTTTTTGTACCTGGTAAAACTAGTCATCCCACCTTGGTCTTCTTGGCTATGCTTGGCCTTTGTTTCCATGAGAAGTTTTGAATATCTTTGTCAAGTTTAGCACATGCACATGCGCGCTCCCCTTTGGAATATTAATTGGGATTGCATTAACTCCTTGTCAATTGGAAATAAGTGAAATGTTTATATCTTTATGTATGTCTATACATATGAGGGTACTTCAAAAAGTTCATGCAAAGGTTCATATTATCTTTAAATTCCTTTTCTCCACGAATTTTTTGAAGTACCTTCATACTTCTCTTTATATTTACAATGTCATCTTCTATCAATGGACATGATATATCTTTTCATTCATTTAGGTCCTCTATAATGCATTCAATAAAGTTTTGTAGTTTTTTTATAGATGTGATGCACTTCTTGTTAGAACAACTCCTGCATACTTGATATTTTTGGATATATCTTTTCATTCATTTAGGTCCTCTATAATGCATTCAATAAAGTTTTGTAGTTTTTTTTATAGATGTGATGCACTTCTTGTTAGAACAACTCCTGCATACTTGATATTTTTGATGTTGTTATAAATAAGATCATTTAAATTTTTTTCCAATGTTTGTTACATTTTTGTGTATTGTTTTTATATTTAGCAAAATTGCTAAATTCTCATTATATGTAAAACTTTGTCTATTTTCTTTTGGACTTTTCTTTTTTGATTCCTTTTTCAAGTAGGGCTTTTTTTTTTACCTTGACCTTGGTGTTATAACACTGTGTTCTAAACAACCGAACTAACCGGCCAGACTCTTTTAGACTTTCTGAATGCATTGTGATATTATAATAACAGTAATAATAACAGTTCAGTGTATTCCATCCTAATCTTTGTACTTTTTACATCTTCTTCATGACTTACTAAGCAAACTAACATCTCTGGCAAACACTGAATTGAAGTTCTGGTAGCAAGCAAGATTATATTGTCCTGATTTCAAAGCTTTCAAAGTTTCACCATTATGATGTTTGTTGTATTTTTAAGCTTAGAATAAACCACATGATACCCCCTATATTCTACCATTTTTCATAGAGTGAAAGTAGCAGTTGCATATGATTCAATCTAATATCAGATTAACTCACTTATTTACTTCTGCTCCCAGTTCACAAATAATTTTTTAAACACGAATATTGGCATGTTAATGTTTTTCCTGCATCTATTGAAATAATCATATGGTTTCTGTTGTCTTTCTTTCAATTTGTAAATGTGATGAATATATTATTTGATTTTATAATATTAATTTAATTTTCCATTTCTGGAATAAAACCAACTTGGTGCTAGTGTGTTATTTGGTTTGCTAAAGTTTTGCTTGGGTTTTTGTATCTACATTCAGAAGTAAGAATGATCTATAGTTTTCTTGATATTGTCCTTCTTGGAGTTTTGTTATTGAGGCTATGCTCACTTCAAACATGAGTTGATGGATCCTCTTTTATTATTTTCTAGAAAAGCTTGTGTGAGATTGAAATTGTATTTATTACATGAATGTCTGGAAAATCTTGCCAGTGAAGTCATCTAGATCTAAAGTTTTCACAATAGGAAGAGATTTAAAATCACTGACTCAATTTCTTTAATGGCTTTGGGACTGCTCATATTTCCTATCTTATTATTCACTTTAGGTAAGTTATATTTTTCCAGGCAGTTGCCCATTTCTACTAAATTTGATATTTTATATTGGCAAAATCTGTTCATGTTATCCTCTTTTCATCATTTTAATATCTGTACGATCTTTAGTAATGGCCCTTTTTTATGCCTGATATTAATTTCCTTTCACCACAGGATTACACATTTTCGAAGAATCAACTTTTGGTTTCTTGAACCTCTCTTTTATGTTTTTCTGTTACATCAGCTACTCTTATATGTATTATTTCTTCTCCCTATTTATTGCTTGTTTTTAAATTTTGCTTATGGTCTTTCTCATCATATGTAATTTTATTATTGTTATAGCCAACTTTATCAATCTTTAAAGTCAACTTTACAAACTCAGTGAGTTGTGTTTTCAGGATCTTAAAGTTTTTCTCACCCCAAAGGCATATATTCTTTTATCTTCTTACAATTTTATCAATTTTTATATTTAGGAATTTAATGTTTGGAATTTATTTCTGTGTTCAATGAGATGTAATAATCAATATTTAAAATTTTCTTACAAAAAGTAATTGTCTCCAATACCACATGTTGACTAACCCACTTTTTTCACTGATCCCCAAATTCTCATGTATATGTGGGTTTTCTAATCCATTAGTATTTTAGTCAGCAGATTCATTAGGATTTTCTGTGTAAGTTTACATTACATTTTCTCCTTCCTTCCCAATTATTATTTGTTCATGAATTTTTCTTGTCCTATTGCATTGGCAAGGATCTCCAGTGCATCCCTGAAAAAATGCAGAGTAGGAAGCCTATTACTGCTGAGTCTAAAGGACATTCTTGTAAAGTTGCACATTAAAGATGATATGTTGTTTTAGGATTTTGGTAGATAGACAACAGGCTAAGAGATTTCCCCTCCATTCCTTGTTATCTAAACCTTATTAAACAAGAATGGGTAGTAGGAGTAATCAATACCAAGAGTGAGAAAGATATAGGGATATGGCTCTTGAAGAGAGAAACAATGTTGCTTAAGGAAAGATCATAGGCTATGTGATCAGAGAAACCTGTGTTCCAGTCCTGGCTCTGTCAGTTGTTAGTATTCCCTTACCTCTGCCAGTCTCCATTTTCCTTATCTATAAAACGGATATTATCATACCTAATCACAGAGTTGTCTGAATTAAAATTATACAAAGTACATGTAATGCTGCCTGGCTCATCTACTAATTGATTATTAATCTTTCTTCTTGTAGCTTCACCCTCTCTGCCTGTGGTAATTGGCCCCTTGAAGAGGGCCTTAATTGGGCAGACTGAATTTCAGCTGCATGTCCTATAGCCTCTTTCCCAAAAACATCACCCTGAAGTGGTTCAAAAATGGGAAGGAACCCTCATCCCTCAAGACCCAAGTGGTTCAGCTGAAGTACAGTGATGCCTACAAAATCTCCAGTACCAATGAAGTGACCTGGACTCTGAAAGACATCAACTTTCATATTACCTGCAATGTGAACCACCAAAGCTTGCATTACCCTCTTCATGGGAAAGCTGATTTGTCTGGGACCATGCTAGGTAGGTGACACCACATATGGCCAGGCTTTCACTTGGCTTTGGAACACAATTCTCCCAAAATTTGCTTCAGGGAATAGGCCTAAATAATAACAGGACCTCCCAACTATTGTGTACCTACTATGTGCTAGAGATTCCTATGAGCTAGGTAGGTGCTAAGTAAATGGCCACCAAGTAATAAGCAAGATGGACCTGATTGTTTCATGAAGTCTGAACATTTGTCATATACTGTTTCAGTTCCACCCACCATTTCTATTTTCCAACACCTTGTCTCAAATAAGAACATGACTGTCACCTGTATGGCGAAGAAGTTCTTCCACAAGGATGTGCAGCTGACCTGGTGGAAGAATGGAAATGTCTCCCAGATAGACAAGATCCTGACCCCCACCAACGGCAGAGATGGACTACACAGTGTGCAGAGCTCGATCCTGGTGAAGAAAGCTGGCCATGTGGAGGAGGACATTGCACTCACCTGCCAAGTGAGCTGTGGCAGGAGGTCACTGCAAAAACATTTTTGTTCTCTGCTCATTTGCCCAAGTCTAGGACATAGCCAATGACAAGTCCTCCATGACTTAATTTGAGGAGGCTCCGTCATTTTTCCTTAAAACTTTCTTTTCAAACTTATGACATTTTAAATTATAAAAGCAAAGCCTGCTCTCCCTCACTCACTCGCTCACTCTCATTCTCTCCCTGTCTCACACACAAGCACGTGTGTGTACACACACGAACAATCCAGAACTGTGTAAATATCTACCAGATACTAAATATCTATTAGAAGTCAAGTACACCCAAGTCAGCTCCCCAGAGAGGTCTCCTATTTATGATTTGCTGCACATTTTTTAAGATCTCATCTACCCACAAAGTGGATTTCAGGTACTGGGAGGACTAGATAATGTTCAAGACTCCTTCCAAGCCAGGGAGTCTCTTTCCTTGCATGCCCTCAAAGGTTTTATGCCAGATTTTTTTTTTTTTTTTTTTTTTTTTTTTTTTTTAGCATTTCTTTATTTCCTGATTGAGCCCAGGTTTTGGTGCTGAGCAGGGTGGCCTTGAAATTCTCCCAGAAAGAACACATTTGTGTTCCACTTTCCCTCAGGGTAGACACCAATACTCCTGTGCCCTGATGTGGTGCTGTTCTCCTAGTTTCCAGGCTCTGGGCTCCCTATGTGTCTGAATAGCCTGTCCTTTCTTGATCTAAAGGGGCAGTAAGGATGAACATAGTATTTGACAAATGTGGGTTTGACTCTCACTACCTTGTGACCCTAGCAAGTTTCCTAAAATCTCTGAGCCTTGATTTTCTCACCAACATGGAGATGAGATGATAATACCCATCTCATAAGACTACACTAATTGTAAACAAAGTACTACAAGGTAATTCAGTGGGTTGAAGCTGCCTCTTTTTTTCTAGGTAAGGCCCAGCCCGGCAGTGTGAGATGCATGCATGTTTACCTGGGCTCCCGCCCCAGGTTGCTGTGCCTGGTGGGGCACTGTGCAACAGGAACAGTTGTCACAGATGGGCCCCAGTGACCTCAGATGGGAAGGTGAAGGCCCTGGAGGATGGAGTCCCATGTGCCCTGTGACGACTCTTGTTGCCCACCCTTCCTTCTGTGGCTTTCCTCCTAGGCCACTGGTGCTGCTGATGATGGAGTTTCAACCCTCCATTTGGCAAGAAGTAAAGGGCCTGACTGTAAGTTGAAGGGAGGCTCAGGGAGGCAGGACAAGGTGGTGGCCACAGCCTGTCCCAGGAACAGGATAAAGTTAGAAGTCAGTCCAAGAATCTCCCACAAGGTCACATGATGCCTGGATTCATCTGGAGGTAAGAGAGGGACACAAAACTTTTACTCCCCAGGAATCTCCTGGAATCCTCTAAAAAATCCTCTATCCCAAGTGTGGGAATGGGGGAAGTGGGGTTTGATCAAGGGTTTGCAAAAGATGTCCATGGGACAGTATAGGAGATTAGGACCCAGGGAGGGGGTGGTGTCGGGTCTCATAAGGACAGATTTTGATTCTTTGTCCCCCAGTAACATTCACCCAGGGGAGCATCTGCTACTAAGATAGAGCCCAGCCTCAACCAAGTAGGGCCAAACCAAAGATGGGATAGCTGTGAGGTTACCACTGTGGTTTAATTAATAAATGTCAGGCTCCCAGGAATTCAAGGGATAAGGGAGCCCCAGGATGGGGCGGGGGGAAGGAGAGGGAAGGTGTGGGATGCCAGAAAAGATAGGGATCCTGTGGCTCTAGGCCAACACCTGGGCTCTCTGCTTACCATGAAGCCAGCAGCCATTCCCTCTGGGTTCAAAACACCTGCTGTGCATTCTCAGTAGGAAACAGAACAGACCCAATCTCTGTTCTCACTGAGGTGTGTGCAAACATCGAACATAAATATGTGATCACAAATCCTGATTTGCAATCATATATTACAAATTAAGGGTGTTCTAGGTTTATCTATAACAAGGAGGTGAAGGGAGTGGACACCCCCATCACAGAGAAGAAAGAGAGGAGTAGTGGCAGTTCAAGTCACTGCAGAAAGGCCAGTGTAGCTGAGCCCAAACATGAGTGAAAGGGCTGGCAGTTGAGGCTGGCAAAGTGTTTGGGGCCAGATCAGTAGAGGACAAGAGAAGAATCTTTTTTCCTACCTTAAGAGCAATGGGAAGACACTGAAAGAGACTGACATGATCATATTTCTCTTCTAAAAGTACCGCTCTGGCTACTGGGTGAGGAAAAGACTACACTGGAAGAGGAGTGACTGAGGTAGGTTTATAGACTGTCCAAGCTGGAGATGACAGTGGACAGAGAGGTGCGGGAGAATTTAAGATTGCCGTGGACTGAATGTTTGTGACATGACCCCCAGCCACAAGTTTATATGTTAAATCCTAACGCCCTATGTGTTGGTTTTAGGAGGCAGGCCCTTTGGGAGGTGATTAGGTCATGAGGGCAGAACTCACATGAGTGGGATTAGTGCCTTTAGAAAGAGGCCCTGGAGAGCTGCCTTGCCCGTTCTGCCACGCGAGGACACAGTGAGAGGCGTCACCTATGACGTGGGAAGTGGGCCTTCACCAGACACCGAGTCTGTCAGCGCCTTGATCTTGGACTTCCCAGCCTCCAGAACTGTGAGAAATTTCTGTGTTTATAAGCCACCCAGTCTGTGGTGTTCTGTTAAAGCAACCCAAACAGATTAAGTCAAAGATGCATTTAGATTAAAGGATATGGAGGAATGAGAGGAGTTATCAAAAATGACACCATGGTTTTCCAGCTTAACTAACTGGGTGGATGGGGCGTCATACACTGAGATGGGGACATGGGAAGAAGGGTGCAAGGGGAAGGCGATGATGAGTATGCTTTGTAGATGCTAAGTAGACAGTAAGATATAGGATAGAGGCATAAAGATGATTTGCCCACTGCCATACAGGCACCAGATGGGTCCAGGATTCCAACCGAGGTCCTTCTGGCCCCAAAGCCTGTCTCTTCATCTCTGCATTCAGTGGTCCCTGCCAGCAAGTGGCAGCAAGTCCAATAAAGGAGGTAGAATGTGATGGGCGGGGACGGGAATCAAGGTCACCAAGGGTGGTGGTCTGGTTACAATTATTGCATAATAAAACACCCCAAAACTCCGGGGCAAAAGCCAACCATTTTACGATGATCAGTGACACTGTGGATCAGGAATTCAGACAAGGCACAAGAATGGCTTGTCTCTGCTGTGTGTTGTCTGGTGCCTCAGTTGGGAAACTCAGCTGGGGATGACTCAACCACTGGGGGGCTGGAATCATCTGGAATCTTCTTTATATGTCTGATGATGGATGCTGGATATTGGCTGGCATCTCAGCTGGGATGTCAGCTAGAACTCTGACATGTGTCCTTGCCATATGGTCTCTCTGTGTGTGCTAGTTTGGGCTTTCTCAAAGTATGATGGCAAGATTCCAAAAATGAGCATCTCAAGAGAGCAAGGTGGAAGTACAGGGAATTTTTATGGTCTAGTGTCAGAAGTCACCTCACATCACTTCTGTTGTAGTCACAAGCCTGCCCAGATTCAGGGGGTGGGAACATATACCCACTTCTCTATGGGAGGAGTGTCGAGGAGCAGGAGGCAAGGGGGCTGTTGTTGAGTCAGCTCTGCAAATACAGTTTGTCACACTGAAAAGAAATAGGGCTGAAGTGATAAACGCTCACAGGAACACTGGCCAATTGCTTGCCAAGGAATGTTTCTGAGAAAAAAAAAGAGAAGAAAGCTAAAGTAAGGTCTCAGAGGAAGAGGGACACTTGTCATGTTTCAGAGTAGTCAAATTCTATCTCTGACTTCCTCTTTTGTTCTGCTCCTTCCCATCACCAACATATGGTCAGCTTCTGGGAAGGAGGCAGGGGTCCGGAGCAGTGGGGAAACTGAGTCACAGAAGGCAGTGTCTGGCACTGGGCCATAGAAGTGAAGAGCTCACCTTTGAGAGGCTCTGGACACGATCCTGTGTGCTGGCTGCTGCGGCTCAGAAGTAAGAGAGGAGGTGCATTCCTGTGGGCGTTTTTCTGCTCCCTCCACTCCTTGCTTTGCAGAGGTGGCCCCAGACTGGGGACAGACAGAAGAGACACCCCCCCTCCTCCCAGCATGTTTCTGCATATGTCACTATCCTTACAAGATGAACACTCTAATCCCCCACCCCCACCCCACAGGCCCCCTCCATCCTCTAAAATACAAAGCACCCTCCCCCTC